GACGATGACATCATCTTCGAGCCTCTATCCGAGGTGGATGCTCTTCTTGAGCTGGACCAGATGTCCTTCGAACAGTTTGTCGGTGCCTTGAAGGCAGACAATTTAGCCGAGGTGCTCATTATACAACCGAACTAGGAAATTAATTCATCGCCGTTCCTGAATGAAGCTGTCTAGGAGGACACTAAAAGGGTGCTGAACACACGAAGTGTATCGTCGATACTGAAGGACCCCTCGCTTATCCTTTGGTAAAGGAGTTTCAAGACGTCGTCCCCGAAGACCCGACCTTCGGACCGAGATGTGTGTCATAAGATTGACCTGGTACCGGGAACCAAATACTGCGTAACACACCAATGGCCCCTGCCCAAAGAGCAGTGGTACGTCGTTGACGCCTTTTCCGCGTTAAGCACGACACAGAAATGGTGCGTGAAAGTAAGTCCCCCCTTTCGACACTCACTTTTTGTGTCCGGAAGCCGAACGGCAAGTGGCTTATCGTCCACGCTTACAATACGCTAAACGCCGCCATCATTCCGGTACAGACGCCGATTCCTGGAAAGGATGTTCTCCAGAACAATATGGTTGGCTGTGCAAAGTACAGCGCACTCGATTTGGCCGGTGATTATTACCAATTGCTCATGAAAGCGAGTGATGTTCCGCTGATAGCGGTGAGTACTCCGAGCGGGATGCTCTGGGAGTGGCTGGTGATTCCCCACGGGCTGTCAAATACACCAGCAACATTTAATTGTCTTGTGACGCAATTGTTCAGGGTATGCACAAACATACTTCAATGGCATCTTCGTCCAGAGATGGAGGGACAGATGAGGAAAACCACATCGTTCATTTAAGAGCGGTGCTCGAGTGCATGCGCACGAATAAGCTGTATGCTTTAGTCGATAAGTGCATCTTCGGCGCAGACGAAATTCCCTTTCTAGGGTGCTTCATTGGAGAGCGTGGCCTTCGAGCGGACCCCCCTAGGGTCAGGATCATTGTAGACTGGCCGGTTCCGAAGAACCAAAAGGAATTGCGCAAGTGGCTTGGCCTCGTAAACTACTTGCACAAATATAGCGCAAATTATGCAGAAATGGCACGCTAATTGTCGAATCTTCTTCAGAAGAATACATAATGTGTTGGGATACCGAGCATCGGAAGGCCATTAACAGGGTCAAAGACAGCTTGCTTCATGCACCGATTTTGGGGTTGCCAGACCCCGATCGTCCTTTTAGTGTCGTCTGTGACGCTTCGGACTTTGCCATCGGCTGTACACTGCTGCAATCAGACGCCGAGGGGTGATATCGGGTGATCGCGTTCAAATCTCGCCAGCTTAAGGCTGCGGCGAGGAAAAACCAGTATACATCAAAAAGTTACTTGTGATGAAGTATGCACTTGTCAAGTTCAGGGTGCACATGCTTGGCTTAACGCAGTTTGTGATCTTCACAGATCATGCGTCATTACGCACTGCGACTCAGTCGCATCACCACTCGCAGAGGTTGTCCACGCAGCTCTACTACTTCGCAGAATACAACTTCGAGGTGAAGGATAAGCCAGAAAAGCAGAATGCTTTGGCTGATGCGTTGTCACGCAGACCGGATTATTTGCTTGCTCATGTCACGACGGTGAAGGAGTAAGTAACGGATTTGATCCACGCTGCATACTCGGATGATGGTATGTGTATAGCGCTGCTACAGGTTCTCGGGAGCAAGGAGTTTGAAAGCTCGGACAAGATATTTTAAGCGCATTTGCGCGCACGATTACACCGATATTCGTTGAAATACGGTTTGCTGTATTATAGCACCAATTTAACGGATACGCCACGAATTACCATTCCACACGATATGAAATTGAAATATCGTATCTTCTATGAGGCCCACGACACCCCACTCAGAGGTCATCTCGGTCGTGATAAGACGTACAGCTTGGTGAGTTGCCACTATTTATGGCCCAAGCTGTTCAAATGGACCAGCACATATGTGCGCACGTGTGAGACGTGTTAGAGGGTGAAACTCTCCAGATGCGGCGCCGCTGGCCAGTTTACCGGTACGCTCTGGGTGTTGGCAGTACATGAGTATGGACTTTGTGTTTGGCTTGCCGAAGGACTCGGCGGTCAACACGGGTGTGGTGGTCTTTGTGGACCGTTTGAGCAAGATGGCTCACCTTGCGGTAGTGCCGGACACCGTCGACGGTGTCGGTACAGCGACTCTGTTTTTCGATTGTGTCTCTCGACAGCATGGACTCCCGGAGTCAATTGTCTCTGATAGAGACCCGCACTTCACTGGGAAGTTTTGGTCTTCGATCTTCATGGTGCTGGTCACCAAGTTGGCTATGTCAACAGCGGACCATCCACAAACCGGTGGTCAGACTGAGCGCGTGAATCGCGTCGTTGAAGGTGTTCTTCGCAGCGTCTGCGCTGAGATGCCGAAGCGCTGGGAGCGCCATGCTGCCATTTGTAGAGTTTGCTTTGAATAATGCAGTGCATTCATTTACCGGCTACACGACGTTCTAAGTGAACGGGCTTGTATATATTCGTGTCCTGTTGACGCCGCCATCCCATGGCTCAGGACTTGATGGGGGAGGAATGGACGAACGGCTAGCAGCTGTCAGCCACCTCACTATCCGAAAATAAGTTGATGACTTCATGTCTACCAGGACAGTGCCCTACGGCATGTTTGTGATGCGACGGCTGACGGTCAGGACATGCAAAAAGAATATGTAGATAAAATAAGCAGAAGAAATGCTGAAATTCGAAGACCTGGTTTTATCAAATGCTAAAAATTTTCCTACAAATGTAGTTTCTGCTGTCTGTAAGATAACCCCCCGTTCATGGTTTAGCGGACCTCTTACGGCCGTGGCCAAGCGAGGCGGTTCCAATCCATTGGGATTTCTTGTGGTACCAAAAAGCGAGCTCGTAGAGCTATCTGCTGACCAAGATCAGCTTGTGTAGTGGCCGGGGGGACCGTTTACGTAGATGTCTAACGATCGAGTGATCGCGCTTTAGCTTCCGTAGCGGGATTTGCCAAGAAGAAGCTGTACTTCACACGAGGGTATAGGACCGAACGTGGATACGAGCGCATGAAAGCAGCCCTGTGGGCTACCCTTCAATTGCTGCTCCTGTGCCTTGAAGAGGCAATACCACTTCCCCGTAAGTCGAGAGGTCGGGGAACGGACACGGTGTCCGCAATATTCGAGCTGGGCTCACGTCGCGCCGTTGGCGCATCTCATCCTCCTCGTCTTCCCATGCTGGAAAAAGCGTATTAGACTCGTAGTCGACTTCCTCCAACTTCTCGACGATGAGATGTGCTTCCCGTGAAGCCGGAGACGAACTGTCCGGAGATGCCCCCTGCGCAAAAGAAAAAGGGCTTTGCCCGCGGGCGCTCTCGGAACCAGCCAGGCCGGGTGTTTTGCGTGTCATAGACAAAGGGCTCTTAGAGCGGAAAATGTTTAAGGTTGTTTTTAAGAATGTAACGGTGTCTCAGACACGCGAGCCTTGTGTGAGGCGACTGCTAATTGTGTATAATGGATATTCACAATTTTAATGGGGGAGAGTGTAACGGAAACACGCGTACCCTCGTATGATAGGGCGGATCGCACAAGATGGTGGCACCGTACATAGGTGGGATTACACAGGCTGGTATAATCACACACTGTTGTTGCTACACCGTAACAAGAAGCCACTACGCGGTAGGATTGCCAGTAGTAATGCGTATCGATTAGATTTTACTAAATCAATTAGCTTTCGCTATATCATTAGGGAAATCCTAAGGTTTTCGATATTGGCGGCTCTGCCGCAACTAAAACAGTTAATTACAGTTTTAATTTTGAGCGAAAGATCGCCTTTACCTATGTTAAGGTTCTAAGTACTTGGAGGTGGCGAATTTCGATCCGCTTCACTCGTACTGGATCTTGTAAAGAATGTAAGGTCGGTGGCCTTAGCTTAGCTTTCTCTAAGCAAAGAGCTACGGCAGCCCAGCTGCCCTAAAGATTGTTAATCTAGTGACATTCGAACATTACATGTTCCATCCTCGCAGTGATACAGTCCTTTCAAGACTCGGTCGTGCCGCAAACTGCTTACACCGTTTTCAAGACTAAGGCGTTGGCACTGCAGTTTGGCCGTATAGTGAGTACCATTGTCATGACCTCCCTGTATCACGACTTCCACTGTCATGCAACAATTAGTTTTTCTTCTCAGCTGGTGAGGATGGATCTTATGCATCTATGAGACTCAAAATGTCTTTGGAAAGGAAGTAGCACTGGAAATAGAAACATTTTCTTATATAACAACAATGCCCTGACTGCTACACGCCAGAAAAACCGATATTCCGGTACTTATAAAAATCCAAAATTCATACCATGTCTATGTACCGTATCGGTTTGTTTGAACACAGCTTTTTTCAATGTAAAAAGGGCTAAGTACACAAAAGCGAACAGTATTCAGTTCGCTACATCGTCGTCTAACAGCGCAACCAGCGCTGAATGGCGATGATAGAATCGAACACCATTGAATGTGTTTCACAGTAAGAAATGATAGTGCAGCCTTGGAGAAAGATCTCGCCCCTCTTCCATCTCAGCTGTCCACCTTTTCATTGATGTTCCAACCTCCTGCTCGTTTTAAGCCTAAATAGTCACATACATACATTGATCAATGATCTTTTAGATCAAGGCATTTCCGCGACGCTTCCTCAAGCCCGAACATTCTGTGCGACTCGTCTGACTAGAATCATAAAAGTCACTCGTGGACATATTATGACTATACTTTTTACAAGCCGTCTATTTTACAAGGACGAAGAGGTTCTTTCAGCGCCTTTTGTTTCAATGTCATCTTCCGCTGCCTTCCTCGTACCGTCACTTACTAAATACCGAGCGTTTTCACATCCAGGTATTCTAGAGTCAAATCTCATTCTTGAACACAACCGAACCCGCCTGAACTTTTGCATGGAAGCTTACCGACGATTGGTTACCTTACATTTAAAGTAGTGGGCAAGCCACACTTATCTTTACACGTCACAGTCATGACTAGGAAACGGCTGCGCCACGCGTCAGTGCACAATGTGGACGACCCCATGGTGCTTCAGCATTGTCAGATTGACGTTAATGTTGCAGACGAAGAGAATACAAGTATCTCCAAATCTCATAGCAATCTTATTGACAATTTTGGTCCTGCACCAGAACACCCTAAACGACGAGCTCTAGTCTGGTTCCGTCGCGACTTAAGACTGCATGACAACTTGGCACTCGACGCAGCAATGCGTGCGCAAGAACAATTTTGGCGCGCAACTAATGAGGACATGGCGCTATTGCCTATTTACATTCTCCATAAACCGAAACGTCAGCGTTGCGGAGCTGTTCGATTCCAATTTCTATTGGAAGCAATAATGGATGTGGCTATTTCCATTGAGAAAATGCATGGTCGACTGCTAGTGCTGAGAGGAGACGCTGAGCACGTATTACACACTGTCATGGCCGCATGGCACATCACTGATCTCTTCTTTGAGGCTGGGGTCATGCCTTACGCCGTTGAGCGCGACTCTCGCGTCCGTGCTATTGCAAAGTCGCTAAATGTCAACGTCACCATGATACGAGGGGGGACTTTGTATGATCCACATGAAATCATTCGGTTAAATGGCGGAGTACCGCCAGACGAGTACGAACGACTTTTAGAGATCACTGAAAAGATGCCGCAACCCACACAGCCCATTCCCGCGCCATTTAAACTTCCACATGCTGCATCCTTCAATACAAAAGAATTGTATTTCTTATTAAAGAGTTATTGCCATGACCACAACTCAGAAGTTGCAGATGCAATTGCTGGAATTAACGTTAATACTGAAAAAAACGATACGACACTATTTGTAGTACCACCTCTCACGGTATTTGGACTCACGCCTCCAGATCCACATACGACCTTAATTGGAGGGGAAACTGAAGCTTTGAAGCGTCTGGACGAATTCTGTGAAGATGAACGACGCGTAGGTATGTTTGAAAAGCCAAAAACATCTCCAGTTTCCGTTGATGTGCCATCTACGACGTCGTTAAGTGCGCATTTGACTTTTGGGTGTCTAAGTGCACGTGAGTTCTTCTATCGCATCATGTTCATCCAGCTGCAATTTTCCCAGCGTCCTGGATTCCCCGTACAAGTGACATTGGAAGGTCAATTGATGTGGCGAGAGTTTTTTTACTGTTATGCATGTGGAACCCCAAACTTTGACTCATTTTATAGTAACCCTGGATGTAAACAGATAGACTGGCGCTTGCTTGCAATGAAAGACGATATAGTGAATGACCACAATATGTTAGAAGCAGACGAAAAGCTTGCTGTACGGCAGTTGGAGTGCTGGAAGGAGGGTCGTACAGGTTTTCCCTGGATTGATGCTGTTATGCGTCAAATAAATCAGGAAGGCTGGACGCACCACGCTGGACGCCATGCAGTTGCGTCCTTTTTAACACGTGGAGTGCTCTATATTTCATGGCTACAAGGCGCGTTGTACTTTCAAGAGAAATTGATTGATATGGATTGGGCCTTAAACATTGGGAACTGGCTTTGGGTCAGTGCAAGTTGTTTTTTTACAGATTACCGCCAAGTGGCGTCTCCGTCCACATTTCCTCAACATTGGGATCCCCATGGGCATTTTATTCGAAAGTACATACCAGCACTCCGTAACATGCCGGATAAATTTGTATACGAGCCGTGGAAAGCACCACTGAAAGTGCAACGGGACGCTGATTGTCTTGTTGGCAAAGATTATCCGTTTCCAATAGTTGACAGCAAGCTGGCGATGTCGCGTTGTGCTGCTGGGATGAGTCATGCATTTTCGGACACAGAGACAGCGGCCGTTATTAGCGATCGAAAGCTTACGGAAGAGTCGGAGACTTTGTCTTGGAGCGCAGATGACATGTGCTACGGCTACCGAAGTATTGCCAGTAGCTCACAGCTTTAACATTAGATACCTTTGGTACCGCTAGGAATTATTTTGTTTAATCAATGGATATTGTGTGAATAGTGCGTAGTGGGGTTTTCAGAGCTATGTGACGTAGTCGCAACATCGTGCTTAATGCTGTGCCTATCCTTGCAGCAAGTTGTTGAACCGTTCTTGGATTTGCAGATGGGCAAAAGATACGTTATGCAATTTGTTAGTACATAGGTCAAGAATTTAGCGCCACTGTGCAAATATTTTCGCTTTTTTTTCCTCACACATATGCAATCAAATTTTTCGATGCTGACTAAAAATAGCGGTACTAATGTCGTAAGCCTTTTCGGTGAGCGTATAATGGAAATTACGAGCAAATTGCCGTGTTATTCATCCTGTTGTGCATGCTGATAGCGGCGAATGGTGTGGATTTGCCCGTTAAAATGAAAGAGAGCTAAATTTTCGACCATAATACTCTTCGACAGAATTGTGCAAGGATTTTCCCATCAAGGCCGCACTTTTTCCTGAATTGGACATTTTCAGAAAAAACTGCAAGAAGATAGCTTCAAACTATCGAATCGACGATGGGACAGGAAGTCTTAGGGAAACTTTTCTGAATTCTCGAATTTACGTTAATATACGCTTTAATTGGTCATGTAAACGTAAAATATTACAACTATGACTGTGACGCAGAAAAGATGTACTCGACCATGTTCACGTAAATCTCTAATTTCATTCACCTCGCCATATTCGCGAAGGAACACGCGACAGCTCTCTACTGATCACGCATGGGTGCGTGACGATTGACGTTGAAGTGTAACCACAAGTGGGAATTGCTGAATCTCGCTTTCAATTGATTCTGTCAAGTGGCGAGACTTGATTCAATTGAGTAAGCAGAAATGAAAATTAAGATTTGTCGTCTCTTTTACGTATTATCGTGCAAAATTGTTACGCGAAATTGATAATTCCTTCTGGATTAAATGCGTGACCCAACTTGCCATGTATGTAGCGCCTTTTTTTATTTTTCAGTATTGTCGAGGCTGTGCGTTTTGAAATTCTGTCTGCACGCAAGTAAATAGACGTACATTCTTTACAAGCAAGACTTAAGTGAGACTATTCACTTTTGTGTAAGTTTTCTGCTCTGCAGTAACGAAGTGAAGTGTGTTTCGTTTATTTATCTATATGACCAAGTCAGTCTCTAAACTCTTTCATATGAAGGCGAAAGTTACAAATGCTACATCAACAATCAACTGTGAAATTAAACAAGTACATGGTACGGAAGCTCTTTTATTATTTGACAATGGTAGTTCGAATTACGATGTGAAACAAGCGGATGTTAACGACAGGCTCGAATGATAAGTGATGCAACAACAAGAAAGTCGGAATTTTTCTTTATTTAATCAAATTCTTGCAAACAGGAACTTCAAGTCCGGGAAATGATTGCTTGAAAATCAATTAAGTAGGCTGAAAAAAAAAACGATATGCAGCTCAACAGCTCAATGAAAGCGCTTACAAGGTTAATGCAGGACAAGGAAGGGAATGCGGTTCACCTTGAACAAGCAGTTCGGGTGGGCAGCAACGGCGGCAGTGCTTATGTGTCTTGCTTTCTATCATCTACAGACAGCAATAAAAAGTGTTGTTTGTGTCGTTTCACATTATTGATGTCTAGCATACGACAATAGTACGCGACGGGAAAGCAAAAATATTCCTACCACATTTCAAGTCTAACATTGCTGTGGTACAATCACGCATGGTCATCGATGAAGACAGTGAATCGATTACAGCGAAATCAATCGACACGCTTACATTGGTAGTATGTACAAAGAGAAATGGAAAGTATTGCGACCAAAATTGAAGCTTCATGTTTCAGAAGACACTCTGGCAGAATAATGGTGCAGGGGGGACTCAGCAACGTTTGCATTTGTTTGCACTGTCTTCGCAGTCAAAAATGGCAGCCCGTATATCAAGTCCTCATATCCATCATTTGCTGAGTAAATTGCCACACCACCTGACATTCGCCTGACAAATCACAAAAGCTGGTGGCGGGCAAAGTATTCACGAATGGCACGAATATCGTCTGGAGACGTACGGCAGCAGCCGCCGAAGAAACGCGCGCCAGCAGCGTACCACTTTGGCAAGTATTCCTCCCAAGAACTGTACCCATTAACGCCACCCACCGGTAGCCACTTCTTATTAACACCATCCCAATCTTCACCGCTATTGGGATAGACAACCTTGGGCCAGAAGCAGTCCAACTTAAGCAACAAACTTTCGACATATTGCGGTGGGGTACAGTTGATACCAATCGCTAGCAGCTGCGATGGATCTTTAAGCTTCCTTAAGATCTCTCCCACTCGTGCGATCGGCTCACCGCTGTTAAGCTCAAGGCTATTATGACAGGCGACAGCCACTATGACGTGAGCGCTTGGAAACTCGTTCATCAAGTCTACAAAGGCTTCGACCTCCACAAGACAAGGGATTGTTTCACAAATCAAGAAATCGGCTGATGAATAATTCGAAAAGAACGCAAAGCGATGTCTGTGCCAGGCCACGAGGTCTTCTTTGGTCTTGCCATAATCTCCGCGGTACTCCTGGTCATCATTTCACGAGATGAGTACGGTATTCTTACACGTGCAATTCAACTCTTGACTACTACAACTCACGGATCCATCAGCTAATGCAGCACCATAACAGCCAATGCTAGCACCGACAAGAGGCTGCAATCGTTTGCTCGGTTGTAGCCCATTCCATACGGCGTCGCGTGCCTGCACGCCCAAGTCAATACTCTTTGCAAAGAGCTTCTCGACGTCTTCAATAGTTGTAACGCCTTCGCGTTTGAAACCGTCAACGGACGCTTGGTAGCTGACGGTGGTAGCTACGTCAGCACCTGCGAGAAAATAGCTCCTGTGTGCATTGACAACCACTTCTTGAAGATGTTGGTTCTTATCCAGAAGTAGAGAAGAGGACCAGAGACTGCTGGCGTTTAAATCCACGCGAGGATCTTTCTCCAGTTCGGTCGCAAAGCCACCGTCCAACACAACGACGCGATTCGTGTCGCTTAGAAACTGCTGTAGACCAACCAACGCAGGGCTCATGGCGACAAGACAGAGTAAAACGCGTGACAATACTCGATGGCTGACAGCTGCACTTTTAAGCAAATCAAAACACGGTTCAACGTAATGATGCAAGAGGATTGGTGAACCGAGCGTTTCCGGCGCTGCGATAATTTAAGGTCAAGCATGACATCTGTCCCGAATTTTATATAGTAAGTTATTGACGGGACTTAATCTGGAAGGAGGGAAAAAAGTGCGAGTCAAGATTACAGAGTCTTCATTTACCAATTTCCACAACAGGTAGTAAACGTCTATTTGTGATGTGTCCGGTAAAGGTTTCAAGCAAAACACCTCTCGTGGCGCCTCCACAATCCTCGCACTCGCTATGGCAGCCAAAGCTTATGTACCTCGTTAGCAATGCATGGACATCGGCGCAGATGAATTATTTAACTATCTTTTATCAGCAGACAGCGCAGTTTTCCAAAATGCAGATTGGCGTTTTACAGACTCTTCCATGTGTATGCACATTAGTGGCACCACCTCTCTGGGGCGCTGTCGCTGATCACATTCAGAACCAGCGATTTATTCACATATTGTGCATCATCACGGGTGCGCTACTCATGTACGCTTCGCAATTTGTTTATTGGTCCTTCAACTGGATGGTTCTCTTCGTCATTTTATCAAATTTTCAAGTGGCTCCAACTGGTTCGCTATTGGATCATACTGTGCTTAATCTTCTTGATAAGGTTGGTGGCGAATATGGCAAGCAGCGCTTGTTCGGCGCGCTCGGCTTTGGAGCGGGAGCCTACATTACAGGCCTAGTCGTAGCTGTCGCCGGCATTTCTTGGTCTTTTAATTTGAGCTTAGGGCTTGGACTGACATCGTTGCTGGTAATACGTACAATTCCTCCTCTTGAAGACAACCATTTTCTAGAAGACGTCGAACTAGATGGTGGAGCGATGAAAAATCCGACGTTTTTGGACAACATTCGATTGATATACGGAAAAGCGGACGTGGTTGTGCTATTTTGTGTTGTATTCTTCATGGGAATAATGTATGGAGTACTCTCAAGCTTCCTTACACTAAATTTGTACAATCTTTCGGGTAATGATGCTCAGATCGTGGGTATAGCTATCATGTGCGAGACTGCGTCAGAGTTGCCGGCATTTTTCTATTCGCACAGAATTATCAATCACTGCGGCATCGTTAATGTGCTGCTATTGTCAATCTTTGGCTACTTTTTACGCGTATCGTATTGTGCTATCATGACAAATGCGTGGACTGCCATCCCGTTTGAATTTCTACATGGTGTGACTTACGGATTAGCGTGGGCAGTGTGTACGCAATACGTGTATTCAGCAGCTCCTCCTGGATGCGAAGGCACAATAATGGGTGTATTGAATGCAGTACAGAACGGACTTGCTCGTGGCGTTGGCACACTCATCGGTGGGTATTTTTACCAGAATTATGGCGCTCGCGTCATGTGGCTTGTAGCGGATCTAGGCGTACCACTGTCTCTATTTGGCCTTCTTGTGTTTGCACGCCTCAAAAAGAAGACCAAAGCAGCAGTTGAGACATACTTAGAGGAGGCTGAGATCTTCTCACCTCATCCGGGCAACCCGCAAGCGCTTATGCCACATGCTAGTCAGAGGTTCGATGAGATACATTAGACTGGCATTGTGTAGCTTATCTATATAATAAACATAAGACTTATAAAATTCATTGTATCTTATAAAGTGTAAGACCACACTGAGTTCTTTTGACCTTCTTGTGATTAAATAAATCTTCGATCTTCAGTTGTATGTCGGACCAAACGCCATCGTCCTTACTGCCTTCCGACGACACAGCGGATGACGCAGATCTTGCGTACTTTGCATCTTCGCTACTAGACGCTTCTGATGGTGATTCAAGTTTATTAGAATCAACGCTGGATGCTGCAACACTTGATGCCGTGGACGCAGCCATCAACGCGCCTCAAGAGCTTGTCTCCGATAAGCTTTCAACGTCTGATTTACTACAACAGCAATCTCAACGTCAATCGAATTTGGTTGAGCCCAGTTTAGTGAATGCTGGGTCCAGAATGAGCTCTGAAGATAATCAAGAGGACATGAGGGTATTAATGTGGTTCCGACGTGACCTACGTGTGCACGACAATTTGGCGCTTTGTGCAGCTTTGAAACACATAAAACAATACCAATTGAATACTGATAACCGCAAAATGATCTTTATTCCGCTGTACATTGTACACCGCCCTAAGATCATGCGCTGCGGTGTTAATCGTTTCCAGTTTATGCTCGAGAGCGTTTCAGATTTGGCCAGCGCGTTAACTGCGCGGGGATCGCGTCTCGTAGTAGCCAGAGGAGACGGATTGCAGGTATTAAGACGTTTGCTACCTGCGTGGCGCATCACGCATCTGTTTTTCGATGGAGCGAGTGAGCCATTTGCTATTGATCGAGATAATCGAGTAGTGGAGTTAGCAAGACGATTAAATGTCCGGACACATGTGACACAAGGGTACACGCTCTACGATCTGAATGCAGTAATTGCAGAGAACGGAGGTGAACCACCAAAGACATATACGGCTTTTTTACGTGCACTAGCTCTGCAGCCCAAGCCACCAAAACCACTCCCGACGCCCGTGAAAGTACCACCGCTTGGTCATCTTCCAAGTGAGCTTTATCAGCAAGTGGTGGACTATTGGAGAAATCGATTAAAACCTGATCCGTTGGCGGATGTAAAGGAGGAAAAAGCTGAAAACAATGGTGTTGAACAAGAAGAAAAAGATGATGATCCGGAAGTGATGATAAAGCAACTTTTGGAGATTGCAGGTCCAGAACAACAATTCACGCTTCCAGAGGTAACGGACTTTGGCTTCGAGGTTCCTGATCGTCATCCGTTTATCTACGGTGGAGAGCAAATTGCACTCAGCATTCTACGCGACTATTGTCGCAATGAAGGCCGCGTCGTTCGATTTGAAAAGCCAAAGACATCTCCAGCACAAACGACACCTTCCGCTTCGACCACGTCGCTGAGTCCGTATTTGTACTTCGGCTGTATCAGTCCGCGAACATTCTTGCATCACGTACGAGGCATCCAAGAACTCCATGCAAAGGCATTATCAGCTACACCTGTAAGCTTAGACGGACAGCTGCTTTGGCGTGAGTTTTTCCACTGCCATGGCCGAGCCAATCCATATTTCGATAAGATGGAGGAGAGTCCGACCTGTCTACAGATTGACTGGCGATTACATAAAATTCCAGAAAAAGAGGAAGAGATGACCGATGATGATAAGCTCGCTCGGTCGCAATTTAACGCTTGGACTGAAGGTCAGACGGGCTTTCCATGGATCGACGCAATCATGACTCAACTTAAGAAAGAGGGATGGATGCATCACTTAGCACGCCACTCGGTCGCGTGCTTCCTCACTCGCGGTGATCTGTACATCTCATGGGTACGAGGACTTGAGGTCTTTCAGGAACGACTTATTGATCACGACTGGAGCATTAACGCTGGCAATTGGTTGTGGCTCAGCAGTAGCTATTTCTTTTCAGCGTACTTCCGAGTGTACTCGCCATCGACATTTGGTAAGAAATGGGACCCTGAAGGCTTATTCATTCGCAAATACGTTCCAGCTCTAAGCAAAATACCGGTAAAGTACATTTATGAGCCTTGGAAAGCGCCCATGACTGTACAACACGCTGCTGGTTGTCTCATTGGCAAAGACTATCCGTTTCCGATCGTGGACCACAAAATTGCGATGCGTCGGTGCATGGCAGGCATGAAGAAGTCATACGCCATCAATAAGTATGGTACACCTCCTATCGTGCGACCGCCCATCAGTCCCCGATCAAAGCGTCCGCGTGAAAACTCAAGCTCTTCCGAGACGTCGGAAGAGTCGACATTGTAAGCAACTACAAAATGATTGACAAAGTGAACGTGACGTCACTGCAAAAAGATGGCGTCACGTGATGTGAAAGATTGTTCTCTCTTATTATCGATGTGAATCGATAATATTTTGATAGAGAAGAGATTGATGGACGATGAGCAATTTTTTTGCGCTACTATTTCGCAGGCAAAAATGCAGTTGACCTCTCGCTCGCGCATACTTCAATTGGCGGTGGTGGTTGGAGTGACAATTGGGATTGTAGTGGTGTTTTTTGCCATCACTAAAACGGATCGACGAGTTGTCTCGATTCGAGAACATGTTCGCTGCTCGGACAATAATAAGAGAACCCATTTGTTTGGCGTCGGGTGTCCTGAATTTAAAAAGAGATTATTGCAAGACGACCATCCTTCAGCTTTATTTCTGAATGATGACGATGTATGGTCTTCGCATGAAGACGTAAACGAAAAAAGAGAGCGTTCGAATCGACATGGTAGTCCACTTCGTGATGACGACGATCACCCTGGTCCATTTGATAACGAAAGCAAAGACCTTGATAATTGGAAGAATAAAGGTAATGAGGAGAATCAAAGTGAAGACAGCGAGGAGAATAATTCTGATGATCAAGAGGAAGACGAGAAAGAAGCCAGCAAGGAGAATAATTCTGATGATCAGGAGGGAGACGAGAAAGTAGCCAGCGAAGATAAAAATACACAAAATGAACAAAACCTGAATGGTCCGGAAAATGGTGCTGATAATATTCAGTCAAGTGTTGCCTCGAGTCTAGCTGGTATTAATATTGGCAACACAATCATGATTATTAACGTTGGCAGAAGTGCGACTAACGGCACTTATCCTGGTGAAAATGAACCGGTCGCATCGGCTTCTGACTGTTTGGGAGTCAGCGGTGCTGATCGCTCCGCTATCAGTTCTGCTGCTGTTCGGGCATTTTGCGACTCGGCTAATTGTAAATTTGCAAACGCAAACGAGACTTCCGTCGTCAACTCACGCCCGACTTTAAGCTCACTCAAGCCTTCGCTGGATGATCTCAGAAGAAGAATAGGTAATGACGTATCGCAGGGAATTGCTAATGATGGTGGAGTCAACGGAATGGGAAATTTGAAGTGGTTGCTGCTTCTCATTATCGTGATAACAACTATGTTTGGGAAATAGATGAGCAGACGCATTGTAGTCAAACTGATACTTGAAACTTGCGCATTGAGGCCTTTGCGTGATAAAAAAATCGATGTGGAAATTTTTCAATCATCCGACACGACACTCAAAATTCATACTCATGTCACTACAAATCGAATGTGCTGCAACAATGCTCATGATTTACGCCTACATTATGTAACGCGTATTGTAGCAAACGTTGAGCCAATTACAGATCAATTATTTTAGTCCTGTTAGTGTTGGCACAAAAGATTAAAGAAGCCGTTCCCATCCTTCATTCTTTTGTATTTTTTCCAATCATCAATAAAAATGTCGAGTGTCTGCTCTAGTCGACTGTTCATCAAGGACGCATTAATACCGAGTGGCTGGCTGACTGGCTCTAGTTTTGACCAGGTTCCGAAAATGGCACCTTTCTTAAAGTTTAACGTTCCATAATACGGTCGCTGACTGAATATGTGCCATATGTGGGTTTTGACTTGGCTGATGATAAAAGTCGACAAGACGGCTCATAAACTGTACTCTGTTGCGCATTTATATTGCTATGACGGTGCCTAAGATATATGCAAATTCAGAATATCAAGTGTTTTAATGAGCTTAAGAGTCCAGAGTCAAGAAAGTGCTTGTTTGGTAAATTTGAACCTGTAAATTTTCGACCCAATTGGCACCTCAGTCCTAACCGCGTCTACTCGACCACCAAGATATGACCAGTTCTAGGTTTACTTCAAATTACACAACATAACGTTGATTAGAAGGCTGAAGTTAATTTACTTAAACTTAGTGAACAATGTTACAAGCGCCGCTGTTTCGTATTGCACTTTAATTTCCTAGCATGATAAATTTACAGCTAGCCACTGAATGGCCGTCTTGCGCCGGTGTGGAGAGCAACAGGTGGCCCACTCTCACGTGGACCCATCAGCAGATACTTATGCTTGAGAAATCGATAAGCGTGCAGCGGGACTGCCGTGGCAAATCGT